CGATCTTTCAGATCATCCCACATGACTTGCGCAGTAGTTTCATAGAAAATGCTATTAGCAATATCTTTATTGAACGAATTTTGGATCCATGATCGGATCATGTCATTGCATCTTTTCCTTAGAAGATGATTAGAAGAAGAGATGAGAGGTATGATTAAAGAACCATCCACAAAGGAGAGCTTATTTTGGCACTCAAAGCAGTGGTCATAGCTCGACTTCATTATGGATAATTCTCACCTTCAAGGATGTGAGAGACAAGAATATTGTCAGGATTGTCATTGTTAGTAAAATAAAAAGGGCTAGTGAAATCAATAACAGAGAAAGAAAAGCTATTACCATTGGTCATAATGTTCCCATAAGGGATGACATTGGTGGAGTCTTCAGAAAGAGGAGGTATTTGGTTGTCCATGGCAATAGCAACGAATATGGAAATTTGACGGAATTGCGTCAATGGAATACAAGTAGCAGGGAGTTTACAGGCTTCTTTCCAGAGAGAGGGAAGCTAGTGAGAGAATCTCGGTGGTGTGTAACTATGGCGAGCGATCTGAGCCAGAAGATCGACTATGTGTTCAAGATGGTTCTCATCGATGACTCAGCCATGGGCAAGTCTCAGATCCTCGCCCGATTTGCTTGGAACAAGTTCAGCCTCGATTCAAAGGCCACCAAAACAACGTGAGGTAGAGAGTTCGTGCCTCTCTCACCCGGGTTTAGGGAGAGAAAATGGCTGGGAGCTTGAGCAAGATAATGGCTCGGATTCAATCTCTATTGATGCCAATCAGGTGATTTGGAATGGAGAACTTGACTACCATTGCTTTGATATCATATTCATTTTTGGAGAATCGATCTATATTTTTCATTGACCCAAACGGGATAATTATACATTACAATTACATGTCAAATATAATCCCTTGATTATGGGGATTTTACAGGATATATGTTATTTCTAGTTGTAAATCCCTGGATTGTAGGGATTTACAATATGAAATAATGAAATCGTCGAACACTATTAGGCCGCCAAACTGGGGGATGGCTTACCACTGCAGTCGTCCACCGTTAGGTGGACACTTTTCCAGCATTAAGTTATCATCAATATATATACTTCTCAGTGGTCGCCCATGGTTTATGGCTTTATGCAAAATCAAAATGATTCGAAAAAATAGTAAATACAATGGCATTTGAAAGAGACCCATGCACTTCACCTCCTTATAGAGATGAAGAGGTAGATGGTCAAAAATTGTATTCAGCAAACCAACACTGAAGCGAGAGTTTGTATCGCCAATCTTTAGTGGTGGCAATACCCGGATTCGACTCGACTCGGGACTCGAGGAGTAGATACCATCCAGGTCTGGGTATGGGTTTAAAAGTTGGACTCGACGGTTCGGGTCTAAGTCTAAATACTTTACCACTCCTACAACTCTTGAAAAAGCATAACTGACGTTAGAGCGGCATAAACTCCAACATTGGGTTGATTGCATGGTTGATGTTGTAAATATGAAGATTACTATGGAAATAATGAGAAGAGATGTGGTGACATGTAGCCTGATTGAGAGTATGACCCTTGAGAGCGGAATGACATAACAAGATTCATGTAGTTGATCTTAAATAGTTGGGATGATGCTCGAGTGATGGTCATCATTGTCAAAGCCTTTTCCCAACTAATTGGGATCGGCTAATCGAATATTTGGTCCACCATTGTGCTCTATTAAGAGTCATACCCTCAGTGACGTCCTAAGTTCCTATATTGTGTCTTGGTGGTCTATTGGTGTATGGTGCACCATGAGGCATCACCATCCATCCTAATGACAAGTAATGCAGACTAACCGTGAATATCAATCATCGGACCTGCACTTAATTGGCATCCATCGATGGAGGCATAGGGTAGATGCCCCAATCGTGTATTGTATGTTGTATAGTGTACACCATCAGTGTGTGGTGCACTTCCCTTGGACATGGGGTTGAAAACGAGTTGGGTTAGGACTTGCACAAGACTGAGCCGGCCCGGAACCATTTAAGTTAAGTTAGGCCTGAAAATTAAGTTCTGTTCATGGGCACAACTAAAATTCATGATGATGACGCCCAAACCTAGCCTGAGCCTGAAAAATCAGACTATGCTGGGCCGGATTGGACCATGCCTTATGTAAATATTGCAATATTTTTTTTTGTAGTGTACAAAAAAATTTCGGGCATGGTCTGGGATTCGGGCTTAGCAAGCCCAGTCGAGGTGCAACCCATTGGCCTTAATGCATGGCCTTCCCAAAACGAGGCCCACCTGAAAGCTTGTGGACCATCCTGGCCCATCAACCGTCCTACTTGGACATTGATGATGTATTTTATCTGAGTTGAGTCGAACTTAACTGGGCCTTTGTAGAGGTCCTTCAACATAACAAGGGAAAACAAGGAAAGAGGGTATGATAGCTATCGTCCACATAACCATAAGAGATCTATAATATCACTTGCATCACCGTTTAATCATTCAGGATGGAGAAAATGGATCATCCAAAATGCTACAAAACCTAGGCAACAGGAGTTCCACTTTTTCTACTAAAGGGTTAACATTTACGGAAAGTTATATAAGGCATAGGCTTTGCAATGGATGGTGCAGCCGCAGTGCCTAGAAACCCTACCTAAACATGCAATGGTGGTGCTGGAAGATTCTGTATTGATCTCGACCTCGTCAATTATGGATTTGAAAAGAGAAATAGATTTGGGTCCCAAGAATTGTGCATCTTGTAACCAGTCAGTTTTCAAGTGTTCCCTTATCCACTAAATTAGCATCATTTTCGGGGGCTAAAATAAATTTCTTGGGCGTCACGGGGGTTTTGTAATGTTGGAAATGCATTATCTGGTTTATATTCAAAACATAATATAAAGGGAAAATATTTCCTTATCTTTTATTTTTAATTTCCATATCTCATGAGACCCAAGAATAGAAAATATTACTTGTAAACAAAAGGTCTCTATTTTTTCTATCTTACAACCCCCTAGACCCTTTTGATCATAAATTTTTGACTTAAACAAACACTAAAATAACACCCTATTCAAACTCCATCTCTCTGTCTCTCTAAAACTCCATCTCTTTCTCGCTCTCTCTCTCTCTCTCTCTCTCTC